TTGATGTTCAACGTTTACGTGCTATTATATATCGTGATGTGGTAAGATCAGATCGAAGTAAACCGAACAAAAAACGTTGTCGTTGTCGTGATAAATCAAATATCCTTTTTCTTTATATTATTATTGTTTTGCTTTATATGTTTGTTCTTTTATGTTAAGAAAAAATTTATTATTGAATGATATGAAAATTTTATGTTTGTTTTTGTTTTAGCGATGATACAAAACAATCACAATTTTTAGCATTACCTATTGTTTATTTTGTATCAGTACTTATGGTATCAAGTTATCGAGATATAATTGAAACAAATCTTTCTAGACAAGCATCAATTATAAGTACAACACCTGGTATTCGGCATAGTATAAATGATTAGATTGTTATTCTTTGTGAGAAATTCTTTTTCTTTGTTTTTTTTTTCGTATCGTTAGATTCAACTAGTGAGATTAATGTAGATACAGCTAGTATAAATGATTCGACATAGATTACAAATAATCAAGTATGAATTTTATGTTTAAAAGAAAAATGTGAAGTCATCTTTTCTTTTTTTCTTCTGTCTTGTAGAAGAATAATGGTGAATCAGCAGTTATTGATGATAATAATGAAATTAATAAAATAAATTCAATCGATATGAATAATACAAGTGCTACTGCTATTTCATACGGTATGTCGAATAATAATAATTGATATGATATATAGAGAGACGAACTATCACACTCTATAATATTATTTTTTTGATTTTTTTTTGTATATAGCAAGTATTACTAGTATTCCTACTAGTGAATCATCAACAATAAATAAAAGTCAATTACTTGAATCAAAACTTCCTGAATATCCAAAAGCAAATTTTAATTCAAATGAATAATCATTATCAATGAATATAACTGAAAAATTAGAACGTGCATTATCAGATATTGCACCATTTTTATGTGATATATTTATAGAATATTCACATATTCTTACAAAAAAATTATTACCAAGTGGTTTACATGTACTTAAACAAACAGCATCTATTGTTGAACTTGTTATGTTATTATGTTCACAAGAATGGCAAAATTCGCTTCAAATAATAAATATTCAAATCTAAGAATTTATCTTGTTATCTAAAAACTTTTTCATACATTTTGTTTTTGATTTTAGAAACATGCTGGTTTAGCTTTTATTGAATGAGTTAATGAAGGACGTTTATTATCACATACAAGTAAAGATCATGTTGTTAAAGTAGCTAATGAAGCTGATTTTATACTTAATCGTATGCGTGCTGATGATATATGTAAAGCAAGTGAATTTGAACAATTATCAGCACAAACAACAGTTGAACGTAAATCTGAAGAACAATTATATGAACATTTTATAACAGGAGTACGTCAACGACATCAAGTTATAGCATCACGTTTACAAGAAAAATTTTTAGTTAGGATGATTAATGATAAAACAGCTTATTTAAATAGTTCAAGATTATTTTGGAAATTAGATCTATGAGAAGATGATTTAAGACGACGACAACGTTTAATACGTAATCCAAATGGTTCTATACATAGTGAAGCAAAACAAAAATCATCATTTAATGGTATTAATGATGATATAATAACATCTGTTATACAAGAAGAAAATTTATTAAAACAACAAAAAATACAAAATTTTAATCAAACAATATCAGATGATGATGAAAAAGATCTTGATCAAGATTTTTCAGGACCAATATGTTTTTCAACTGAATGTTTCATTAATTTGTGGTACAACTATTACACATGGTACTTTAGCTATGACACATAATGCGATGTTATTTGATGCTGATGAATATGATGAAAGTTTTACAAAAATTTATTGAAAAAGTAAATCAATAAATTATTGAATATCACATATGTTTTTTTGTTTTGTTTTATTTAGATGTTTCCTTATATTGATAATATTCATGGAAAATGGCATTTTAATGAAATACGAGCTATAATATTCAAGAAGATATCTTTTACAAGATAAAGCATTAGAAATATTTGTTTCGAATAGAAGTATGAAATTAAATAGATAAGTTTTCTTATTTTTTTTTATAAAGTTATACTTTAGGGTATTAAATTTAATAAATAATAACATCATTTTCATTCGAACAAGAATTGATTCATTCTTATATTCAATATTCTATAATAAACAGAATTTTTTGAGTTTTTTTTTGTTTTTGTTTTTGAATGATTCAATTATAACATTAGATTAGAACCCCGAAATTTATTCAAGCATGTCAATTTAGTAATCAGAAATATAGTAAATCAGATTTTTTTGTTTCGCTATGTAATTTTATTACAAAAAAACAAAAAACCTTTCGCTTATTGCTATACTCTTCGTATTAAGATCTGTTTTCTATATAAAGTTTTCAAATCGAAAAATAATCTAAGAGATATTTACCTGCAAAATTGAATTATTATTTCGATCTATGGTGTTTTTTTTCTTTATTAATATACTTTTTCAAATTTGTATTTTAGCAAG